TGAAAAAATTCCTTATAATCAATATCCTAACTATCCTAAAAGAGCCAGTTTTTCATGGACAGGTGTTGGCTTCTCCTGTCGTCGACCAAAACTACGTACTTTAAGCATTTCCCCATTTGTTTTCATTCCCTAGATTTCTCGAGCTTTTAGCTATCCGCCCTAATTCCTCCTGATTTTGTCCACCACTGCCTCCACCGCGGACGCCTGAAAGGTACTTTCTGCCTTAATTCAGGTTCTCTCTGTTGATTGTAGAGGGTCAAGCTGAAATTGAAAAAAAAAAAATCAACGATCTTGCTTTTGCTTTGAACCTAATTCAGGTTCTCTATGTTTGTTGTAGAGGGTCAATCAGAATTTGGTGCCACTAACTGGTATATTCTCGAATAACTCTGTATCTCCCGTTAAATTTTCTCTCAAAAAGACGATTCTGTGTTGCTATGTTCTGATCTGCTTGTAAACTTGAGATTTGGCTCAAGCCCTTACTCCTTAAATTAAACCCATTTCTCCCAATTTTTCCCTTCAATTGGATTGCATTTGAATTTGGATCTCAAGACAGACTGGATTTTGATTCTTTTAAAAATCAGGTTTTATAACACTATATATTTCTCGAACTGAAGATGAAATATGCATGCTTTTTGTTCCAGAACATAGCTTTATCACATCAAATTTGTGCTTGATTTAAGTATCTGAAAGAATCCCAAACATGCTAGACCAATGGGCTTCATTATCCGAAAGTTCATACATAAAATTGAATTTAGCTTATTATGTTACTGTATCTCTTGATTGTACTAGAGAGTTCTGCATTTGCCCCACACTGTTATAGGAGCAAAATTTTCTTTCAATAATTTGTCCGTCTGCTCAACTTGCTTTATAGAGATTCTTACACACATAACTACTTGATTTGAATGTATTTCTAATAGGATGTATTCCAATAATCTTATCTTCACCAACTTTTCAGACTTATTTTCTAATTGTTATTTGGAATTGTTATTCTATTTAGTCATATGAAAAGTATCTACATTAATTTTCATTCTTATTTCTGTTTGAAGTACTGGATACTGCTACTGGGGTTTGGCTTGACAGAAATGGGCTGGTGACTTCTCGTGGTGACAAATGACATTCTGAGCACGATCCCACTTTGGAGTTTATGCGTCGATTTCTCCATGCAGCTGCATCTGTTGGTGTCCGTATATATATATATTTCTGGTGGTCTAAGAGGAGGTAAAGATTGTAATTACCTGAGGCATCCTGTCATCTTTCGATCCCCTTTAATTTCATCAGGACATGCCATCAGAATCTAGATGTGGTGACCAATAATGCTTGCCAAAATGCACAAAGATTGTTTTGAAATATTGTTTGATCAGTTGCTTCTCCTTTTCATTTATCTTTTTTATTTGATTATCTTTATTTTTAACTTCATCGTAAAGCATTCTGTATACAAATGGCATAGTTGAAAAGGATAGGAAACTTTAGCTAATTTTTTTTAAGCTGTAGAAATCTATGAAATTTA